TATATATGATCTTTCCACATAGCCCAGGCTATCCATGAATTTGTGATCCTCCTGCCTCTGCCTCCCCATTGTTGGGATTGCAGCTGTGCATCACCACATCTGGACTTCTTCCTCTACAGCTTCCTCCTTAGCCCACTTCCAGGGTGTTTGTAAACCTGCATTGTGCTCATTGGCATCCCCTCTTGTTATTTCAAAATGTCCCCGGAGAAGCCCCGTTCTCCCCTCACTGCTGCTTCCAGCTTCATTAGCTTATATTTCATAATTATTTTCCAAGCTGTTGCTCGGTTCTGCACACTGGGTCCTAGCCTTAAGAAAGGTGTGCTAAAACCATGGTGTCGGAATGGCAAGATGCCCATGAGTGAACCCTGCACAAAACAGGGTCCAGAGATTTATTTATTTGTTCAATGTTCAATTCTGAGTATTTAGTACAAGGACAGCAAAATTTAAGTTAGGCCCCCTGCTGATGCCATCTCTTAGCCTTTGTGTTTTTCCTTTGTCGCCCTTATGACAACTGATATGTACGTATTTACTGGGAGGTGACTCCTTTAAGGTCAGTCTCCCCCTTGACATTACTCCTTGAAACTGTCAGTTTTAGAAAAGGGGCCTATGTCTATTTTGTTTAATATGCTATGCACATTCCTAGCAGCGAGCCTGGCTGCGGTCAGCACTCTACAGTGACTGCTAACTGTTAACGTCAGAATGTTGATGACGAAGGAGAAGTCAGTTATTACTCATTGATTTTTTTCACTTTGGAATCAATTACACAACTTTTTGACGTCGCTTCTTCTCACTAGTTAACTTGTATGTCGTTTACCACTGGGGTATGTTTGAGCTCCCTGTGGCCTGCTGGGAAGAAGGGGACAAAAGTCCCTGATTGCTGCCCCAACTCCGGAACGGCGTTAGAGATGGGAATGGGAACAGCGAAAGCACAGAACACAGTTAGAAGACATCAGCTCTCAGATGAGTCTGGCAAGTGGGAAAAGCCGGACACGGGAAGAGAATGACCTCGGTGTCTTCCTGTCCTCACTTCCTGTCTCCCCAGGAAGTGTCAGTCAGAGACTTTCAGGAAAGGGTGTTGTCATGGCAATCTGTGCCAACTCTTCCTCTCCAGGCCGTACTGGGACAAGTGCCCTCGTGTGGCCCCGCTGATAGGGGAGCACAGTAGCCAGTTTGAAGTTTCAGACACAACATGGAAAATCCAGAGCCAAAACCATCTGCAACCATGGGCTCCATTATAGCACAGAGCAAGGACTCCAGCCCAGAATATAGTGAAGACTTTTCCTGAACTCATTAAAATTTAATCTGCTGAAGCCATTTTCTCGATAATTTGGGAACCCTCTTTTGGCTTCTGCAAAGAGCCTCTAAAATAGAGGATGCCATATTCTTGCACTTTTATTTCTGGGTATCGGAATATACACATATGTCTAGATGGGACTTCTAAAGAAAGGCCTCTAACTACAGGGTCCATATAACTTAGCATCCAAACTGGGACACTTCAGAGGGTGAAAAGTAGGGCTATGGATAAGCACACAGAGACAACAGATACAAACCAGGCTCTGGTAGGGTCGGGGACAGACCAGTTGGGCTTCCAGTCCCAAGAAGCCTGGACAGTGTCTGGACCACCCTTACGTCTCAGGGCTTGGCATACAGTCAGTGTTCAAAGTGATTGTGTAAACCTGTGCTTGCTCTTGGGCCTGTGTTCTGAAGACAGGCCCGGCGGGAAGCATCCCAGGCTGCGGGAGGACTAGGAAGGGGAAGCCGCCCTGACAGGATAGGCAGGTACTTGATGCCTAAGGAGATGGGTATTCTGTGTTTACTCATTTCTAACTGCTGGCAGCTCATTGCCATCTGTTGACAGACCCCGAGGGACGTGTTAAACAGCTCTTGACATTTGCATATGAATTGTCTGCTTGTACATTTTACGAACTCTCATTTATGGGCTCCAGCTTCCTCGAATCCACGTTATAGCACCCCACATTTTACAATATAGCCGCAACGGATGCCACTCCTTAGAGTCTGGTGGGCAGAATGAGCAGACTCCTCAGAATTCCCTTTCAGGGTCAGGCAGAAATTTCTCCTTCAACCTGGGCTGCCCTGGCTCTCCAGGACACACTGGTTCCCACCCCTCCTCCTCTGGCCTGCTGGGTCCTTCAGGAAGAGCGAACTGGTCCATTGACCCCGAAGGAGCAAAAGGGCATGTCTAGCTTTCTCAGAGGCTGGGGACTCTCTGAGTGACACTGGCAGAGAACAAGTTTTAAACATTGGAGTCTTGCGTCCTCGCGTGCAGGGTAAGGCCTGAGCAAGCAGCCTCACCTCCTTGCTTGTTGCCCAAGTCTGTGAGGACCACCGGTTCCCTGCCCTCCTCCTCCCTGTCCTCCTTGAGTGAGTGCTCGGTCTGTCCTCTTCCCATGTCTTGGAAGAGATCTGTCTCCTTTGACAGACTCAAGATTCCAGGCCGAACTTTCCCATGCCACCGTCCCTCAAAATAGCCCGTGTGAGCTGTATTTATAGCTGTGTGAGACTCTAATGGGCCAATTTGTTTGAATTTCCACTGCTTTTGTGTTGAACTTACTCCTCACCCGTGGGCAGTCTCTTCAGGCCTTTATTGATGGGGTGTGTTAGGGTGGCGAGGGCCATGTTCAAGATGGTAGCTGTATAGAGCTTGGGGGCTGCTTTGCATATTTACTGTTCTTTAAAGCTGTATTCTTTTTTCAAGTGAGCGAGAGCAAGAGAGAGAGCGAGCGAGCGAGAGAGAGAGAGAAAGACACAGAGAAAGAGGTTTCTGTAAGTAGCCCGGACAATGAGAACAAGACCGGCTGTATGCCGAGCTCGGGACCCTGGCCAAAACACATATCATTAGCTTGGGCCAGCTATAAGCAAGGAAATGAGAAACATATGTTGGAGGGAAAGGTTAGGAGTGAAGGACTATGGGTCAATGACAGTCGCCCTAAAACTTTTTCCTTGTTCTTCAGCTGTGGCCTGGTGGTGTCAGATGTCATTTGGCCTGCCTTGATTTCACATGGCGGAGGGGGGGGGGTGCTGCCGTGCGCTCCTTCCCTTTCTTCTTTTCTTTTCTTCCTCCCCCTTTCCTCTTCCTGCTGCTTCTTCCTGACACTTTTTTGGGGAGGGGGGGTTGGTTAAAAGACAATAGACAGAGAAGGATGTGTGTGATATTTTTCTCAGCCCTGGGAAAGCGACAATCTCGTTTCCGTGATGTTGTCTCGAGTTCCTCACTTGCTCTGAAACCGTCCTGTCCCTGTCTGCTTAGCATTTAGACTCGATTGATTCTTTTTGGGGAAAAGGCGGGGGGGGGGGGGGGGGGAGGCTTTTAGGGTCGTCCTCGATGTTTCTTTCTTAAATATAATTAGATGCGCCTCATTACCTCCACTGAAGGACTTTTGTGCTTTCTGCGCTGTGTCTCCAGAGATCTTCGACGAGCCACAGCTTGTCGTGTTCTCTTCGCATTTGATCATATTAGCTGTTATTTTTTCCCCCCTTCCCCTTGACACATTTGTACTCTCTGTTCGCTCTCCCTCAGATATCTGGAGTTGATTTTGCTGGTTTGAAAGGCCACACCCAGGGAGCGTGTTTGGGGCCTCCTTGGGATGAAGGCACTGTATTCCACAGGCCCTTCCCAGTTTCCCTTAACGCTCCCCCCCCACCCCCCTGGACACTTTGTTAACAAGGCTGTGCTCTAGTGTATTCTAGGGTCAAGACCTCTGGTTCTCTATAAAACCCAGACGAACAACTATATCACATGAAACGCAGAGCCGGTCCCCGGGGAACACGCTGTGGCTACTGTTCTGAAGCCAACCACCGAGGCCCAGACGGCTCACCAGGCACATCTACTCAGATTCGGCCAAAGCCACAACATGGATGGCTGTCGTACATCTGCGAGGAGAGGGAAACGGAAAGGCCCACCTGTCAGTTCTGCCTGTCCTTCATTTCTGTAAGATTTGGGAATGGTGGTGGGGTAGCAACCCCCTAAAATAATGGAAACACCCAACCCTTGCTTATTTATTTTGCTTCCTTCATTGGGCCTTGTTCTGAAAACAAACTAACGCCCTGAGTTTCCGGGATTCAAAACTTCTCAAGCGGGCGAGCGTCTTCCAGGCTTTCGATGGAGTTGAGGAGTTGAGGATGGTTTCAGGCGAGGGGACCTCTCTTCCCCCAGGGGAGCTGGGCTTACATTTTTGTTATGTTCATATGTATGAAGGTATTTTTCTTTATTTCAACACAGGGCCTTCCTATGTAGCCCAAGCTGCTCTGGAACTTGCCATGTAGTCCAAGTCTTCCTAGAACTTGCCATGTAGCCCAAGTTGCTCTAGAACTTGCTAAGGAGCCCAAGCTGCTCTAGAACTTGCTATGTAGACCACACTGGTCTCACCTTGTCTTTCAGACCTTCCTGCCTCTGCTTCCTCAGTGCTGGTTGACAAAACATTCAACCCTGCATTTCTTTTCCCTAATTGCAGTTTCTTGATGGTAGTTATCTCTTCCTTGGTCATAGGGGGAAGATGGCCTGGTGATCTCATTGGTTGCTGGATCAGGTAGGATGTGTGTGTGTGTGTGTGTGTGTGTGTGTGTGTGTGTCCCTGCTTAAAAATGTGGAGGAGTACAGGGAAATCAAAGACAGCCATAGGCAGCAGGTATCTAAGTTAGACTGGATGAGGCAGGATGCTGGTGGCATATCTACAAACTCTCTCATTCCAGGGATTCTGTTCCTCAACCCCACTTCCCTTTCTTGAATGGTAGAAATTACTTGGGATTAGGTTAGAATCTATGTGTTTTCTTTCTGTGCCCTCACTGTTTGGCTGCCTCTTGTCTCTCAACAAAGTCAAAACAGGCCTACAAACCCTTTGTTGCCTCCATCACCTCTACTGGAAGCTTCTCGGCACAGCCACAAGGCACTTGCTAGAAACCTACCACGCCTTCCTTCTCAATGCTCCTCCACTTTCTCTGGGGCACCCCTGCACTCCAATCATCAATGGCAGCTGTAGGGATCCTTACACAGTCCACATTTAGGTTAAGCCTAGCTCCCTGCTGAAAACTGTGCTGGTCCCTGTCTGCTTCTGTTTGATCTTGACGCCATGCTAGCTTCATTTCTCTCACTAGCAAAGTGGGAGAATAATGATGCCTTCTACAGGGGTAGGAGGGATGAACACATGCATGCACGTGTGTGCGCGCATGCGGGCACACACACACACAACACACACACACACACACACAAACACACACGTCGTCTGTGCGCCAGCAGTTGCTCCGTAAGTACAAGTGCCATTAACATTTGTCAATCTGAATTTGCCAAGGACGTGCCTGATTCAAGGCCTTCATAAAGCCCTCTGTCGAGTCTCTTTTTCTCTTTGTGCAGCTGACTTTTCCTTATCTTTCAAGTTCAAGTTTAAAGGTTAACCTTTCCGAAGTCTTCCCCGACTCATCTATTTACACGTATTTAATCCCCGTTCCTATTCTTTCCTCCCATAGTGCCCGATTCCTTTCCATCCTAGCACTTTTTCTAACTTGTGACTGCATGTTGTTTGTTTACCTGGGAGCAGGCCTACATTTAATATCCGTATCCAGTACGGGAATATTTGTGGAATGAATGCATGAACGAGAGAGCTTTATACCTTTCATCTTGGAACATCAAAGCCCCCTTCCTTATCTCCTGCATCACATTCTTCTCCCCCAGTCCGGTATTTATCCGTTTCCCCACCCTTTGCCATTACTGACCTGCTAACGGCAGCGAGCTGGGAAATGGAAACTCTCTAAATCACCCACTCCTGCCCCACCACTCTCTCACTTCTGGGCTCTTCTCTCTTGCTCCTGGGCCAGCTTCTCCTTTGAGAGCCTCACACTTTTCCTTTATATGTAAATGATAAATAATAGAATATGTAATATACCGAGCGAGTCCAAGGACTAATAACTCTTCTTCTGCCAAGTTAGAAGAGTTTGGGAATAAATTAACTCATCCTCTACCATTAAGAGATCAATGCCTGGGCAATTAGTCCAGGAATAGCTAAGCACAGGTATCTCACACACCTCCCTGGAAGACTCAAATGGTGGAGGAAGTCAGGGGGAACAGAAATTCTACTTCCTAGACTTGGCCTTCATCGTGTCCATCTTGGGTGCACAGAGCATCCCCCTGAAGCTGCGTGAGCCAGCCTATGGATCCCTCCTTCATGCCTGCTTTCTTCCTTTCTCTCTTTCTCGCTCATAGCCAAGAACACCAAGATGGAAAATGCCTTCAACTGAATTTTTTATTATTTATTGATTTAGCCTGTAGTTCTATCTTTCTCTCTTCTCAAGCCTCCTCCATGCACTTTGCTAATTACTTCTCTGGAAGCCACCTCACTTCCCACGCCGCAGCACGGGAAGGAACATGGTCGTGTGATGGACTGTAGGCTAGACATCAGCTAGGCATCAAGAAATGTCTTCTGGCCGAAGGGATGGTCCCACCCTACTCATTCATCTAATGCACCGTGAAGGAAATGATGCAACAGTGAGAAGGATCTGAGCAACCCTTTCCTCTCACAGACACAGCATATAGGTAAGCGTCTTTGTCATTCATTTTGGGCCTTACTAATACCATCAAGTAACCCGGTCTCTCTCATTTGCACATTCAAGGCTTTCAGATCCCATTGTATGATCAGAAGATAAAGCCTTGATATCTCATAGATGAAAATGTTCAATGCTTTGAGTTATTAGGAGCGGCCCAAATATTGATTACTTTCTTAAGAAGGAGACAATCAAGACCTCTTACATTACCCAGAAAAGACGTTTCCACTGGTTTGTAGGTGCTTGCCTGAGTGGGCACTATCTCAATGGGTTTTACTGAAATGAACTTTCTAGAACTTCATGGTGGGGCCTTGAGGGAAGCAAAGATGATGCTGGTGTTTCCTTTAGGAGACGTTTTCATCATCAGTGCACTTCAATCCAGACCAATCAAGCTTCTGGTGTTAGCCTTGAATCAGTGAGGTAGCCAAGCTCCAGTTAACTCAGGAAGTAAAGAGAATGCTGAATGTCTACCAGGCATAGGAAGTGAGAAAGGTGTGGGCTTTGTTTGCAAGGGTTTTGCTCCTCCCACCACTATTCTTCGTCTGTATGAAGTACGTGTGTGTGTGTGCATGTATGTGTGTCGATGTGCTTTCACATATGTGCCCATGCACATGAAGGCCTATGGATGATGTCAGCAATTATCCTCCATTGTTCTTCCACCTTTCCTACATCGAGGCAGGATCTTTCAAGCAAACCCAGAGCTCGCTGATATGACTACTCTGGCTAGCCAGCTTGCTTAGGGGGATCCCCTATCTCTGCCGTCTCAGGCTAGAATTACAGGTACCACGCCCCACCCAGCATTCACACGAGTTCTGAGATCCAGACTCTGGTCCTCATGTTTGACAGACAAGCACTTAACCACTGAGTCACCTCCCCAAGTTGTTTTCAAGGAATCTAAAACAGAATGGAGGAGACATAGATGGCCTCTTCCACATGAAGCAGTGCTAACTAGAACATCACGGAGGTCATGTTGGCTGGAAGTGGCAGAGGCACAAACGAAGAAGCCCTGCTCTGGGTAAGGGACACCTGGAGCAGCCGTAAGAGAGAGCCTCATCAGCTCACTTCCCCATGTGCACCGGAATACTCTTCCAAATGAATAGAATGTCAAGTGTTATCTGCGGACTGATAGCTTCTGCCAATTGCTTCTGGCATGAAACTCTACCATTCCTAGTCTGAATAGAATTTATCTTCTCTTCCCCAGTGCCCTCTTCTCAAACACTCATTGGCCGGTTTCTATTTCAGATCAAGTGTAACAACCAATTTTAAAAATTTATTCGCCCATGGCCTGATCCCCAAATCCTTCTCTTCTGAAGCGCTGGCCTCTTGATATGTTTCCAAACTTGTCATGTTCATCCTCAAATGTAATATTGAAAGTTTAATATAATATTGTCTATGTATGTTGACCACTGAGTTGATTGATTTCCCCTGTGTCTTAGGGTTTCTGTTGCTGCGAAGAGACGCCATGACCATGGCAACTGTTACAAGGAAAACATTTAATTGCCGTGACTTGCTGACAGTTTCAGAGGTTCAGTTCATCAGCATCATGTTGGGGAGCATGGTGGCAGGTAGGCAGACATGGAACTGGTGTAGTAGCTGAGAGTCCTACATCTTGTAGGCAATAGGAAGTTGACATTGGGCCGTATCGAGCCTAAGAAATCTCAAAGTCCAACTCCACAATGACGCACTTCTTCCAACAAGGCTACGCCCACTCCAGCAAAGCCACACCTTCTAACAGTGCCACTCCCTACGAGATTCTGGGGGCCAATTGCATTCAAACCACCACACTTTATTATTGTCCATTCAGCCACATATTTTCCCCTCTGCCCCTCCCTTTCTGGACTTAATTAAACTTCTGTGATCTTAAGTACTTTTGTAATGACTTCAGGGATACAACCGTGAAAACCATCAACAAAAAACAAGTTTGATAAGATAACGCTATAGGGAACCATGCTTGTGAACATGACCTAAAATTTCCTTAATATTTTCTAGCCATCTGTCTGGAGCTTGTAAACATCTGAACTTATGACATAGTCTCATGAAACTTAAGTTTGGAGACACTTCCCTTATTGGTGGCTTGGTATTTGAGTTCTGAAACCAAAGGTCATTTGCTCTATATTAATTTTATCCATTAGGGGCTCAGTCTATCATTTCAATTCACAGTAGGGTTTTGGTTTTCTTTTTAAGAACCTGAAGATTCTCCTCCAGTATCTAGCCATTCCTTTTTGTAGCGGGCAAACAAGTGACGCTGTTGCTCCTTGGGCCACTTTGGGAGATACCAAGCCAAGCTTGATACTGCCCAGCTCTATGACTAAGAAGTCTTTATTCCTTTATCTTGACCATCAAATAGATCATGAACATTTATGGTCAAAGGAGATATTGAAATCATGAGACTTTGAAAGCCCAAAGGATGGCAGCGGTTTACCAGTAGGGAAAAAGCTAAATGTGTACATTAATGAAAGTAGAACTAAGCCCGGTATGGTGGTACGTCCCTTTAATCCCAGTTCTCAGGAGGCAGAGGCAGGTGAACCTCCGTGAGTTTGAGACCAGCCTGGTTTGCATATGAAATTCTGAGCCAGTAAAGACTACAGAGGGAGACCCTGTCTCAAACAAACAAACACACACACACAAACACAAACAAACAAATAAAAATGTAGACCTGAGTGCCAGGGCTTGTGCAAACCCATGTTTACAGAGGTTTCAAACTGCGAATGTGGCAATTGGCGTTTCTAGGTAGTTTGAAGAGGGAGGTCTCTCTGCTTAATTCAGATAAACTAAAACTGTGGGGTGGAGTCTTCAAGCTGTCTTTGGGGCTAGGGAGGATAGCAGTGTCCTTTAAAAACTCCATGGCTGTCTATGTTTTAAAATCCACGAATTCCCATCAGTCTTGGTTTTCTGCTCCAGCTCTGCAAACTTGAAATGGGATTGTGTTGTGATTGGCTAGAGCATTCTGGGCTTTGGAAGGGGAAACCCACTGACCTCTGACCACAGACTTGTCATACAAAGGGTGTCAGAGGTAGCCCAATTACCTAAGAGGACTGGAAAAAAAAATCAAAGAGAGGTGGGACTCAAGAAGGGGGAGAACATGCACAGCAGGCCCAGCATTAGAACTGAAGTTTAAATTACCACTCTGTCAATAGAAGGCGATAAATCAAGGGAGATATTTACTGATTAAAATTACAGACTCCTATGGGAAACTGTATAAACAGATTGAAAAACAAAGCCCACAGGGACTGAGCGCAGGCGAATCCATCCCGACTTTGACCAGTTATTTCTGTTTCCAGCCAACTCTTGGATTCAGGGGTCACCAAGGAGCGACTTGTTCCAGAAAGCTTAGACTTACTACTATACGAGGATCCAAGTTCTGAAGCACTTAAACAACTGGGAAGAGACTCGGGATTTAGCTCCATTACAAGTGACTTATGTTTTTACTCATCCCCCCGTTTTACTCTCAAGTCTGGCCTAGAGTCACCAGAAGGGGCTAGACTACCCACTCCGCGATGGTATCTGCCAGCAGAGGTCCTGAGCCTGTAGATTCTGAAGAGTAGCGAAGGAATCGTGAGTGGCAGTGAAGCTCACCCCTATACAAGACTGGCTATTTGTAACGATTGCCAGTCTGGCATGCTCATGTTGGTGCTCCCTAGCTTTGCCCTTCTACCCATGTTTCTCCAAGTTCACTGCATGGTGACTATCATTTTGCTTCTTCAGTGTTCCATGTTTATTTGTGTGTGTGTCCACAGGCCACAGCTGGAATGTGAAGTTGAAGACAGCTTGCCATAGTCAGGTCTCTTTCCACGATGTGCATCCCGGCAGTTGGACTTGGTTGCTGGGCTTGGGAGCGACCACCTTTACCCGCTGCGCCACCCGGCAGGTCTCCTTTTACTTCTTTGTAGCATTCTTGAATAAAAGAAATGGGTAATCATATCAGTGACTTTTCTCATTGCTGGGGCCTTCTGTGATCTGATGGAAGCCACTTGAGGTGTGAAGGATTTATTTGGGTTCACAGTTCAGAAGGTGCAGTCCACTATGGCAGGGGAGGGCTGTTGGTTGAGGCTGCAGGAGCCTGTGGCACGGCTTGCTCACTTCTCAGAGGGTCAGGAAACAGTGTTCCAGGCAGCACCAGAAAGCAGATATCTTCAAGATTCATTCCTAGTGACCTCCCTATGTTAGCTAGTTCACTGTCTCAGAAGTTTTACAATTTGCCAAAATAGTGCCATTAGCTGGGGACCAAGAGTTCAAAACCATGAGTGCGTAAGGGACATTTCACATTTTAGTGGGTGCATATAACTAGAGTACAATATATATTTATCTGCATGAGAGTGTCATAATGAAAGTTATTAATTCATATAATTAATATTCACTAACAAGAAAACAGATGAAACACAGATGGCTTTTGAAGTATCTGGGGATAAGACCCCATTGGGCCTGGGAAGCAAGGGTATCCTATTTTGCAATGTCCCATGAATTTCCTTTTGCCATTATTGGCCGAGCAAGTAGGACCATCCCCTCAAATTGCTCTGATTTGTTAAGGGGCAGCATGAGTTTCTGTGTGATGGACAGTGGAAGCCCGCAGGGGCTGTGAAACATCATCTCTGGCTCCATTATCTCAGAATGGTCTTGGGGGTCAAGTTTTGCCCTTACAACCCTAGGCGCCTTCCTTTCCTTTCATGCCTTTGACCGTGGGTATGCAACACCCTCCCAGAGAGCACCAGGCAAAAACGCTGCTTGACAAATGGGTTTTTATGACAAACGGGGGCAGGGAGGATCATTTATGCAATGTCTGTCATAAGAGATGGATGTTGGGGATGTGGTTCCTGTGAGGCTGCCGTGTGTGGTGGGGGCATTTTGTAGGCTGTCTAAAACTGTTGAGAGGGTAACTACGGGCTAAAAGCCACCAACATCCAAGGGCTACATGTGTGCAGACACAGCCTAGGGCCCACCCGAGGCACATGGGGTATATTTTTGCATGCAGGCCATGTGGGTTTGCCAAGCTAGAATGGGGACACATTTCCTGGCCCTCAGGAGCCGGATGCCTATTTATCGGTGGCACTGAGCTATGATCTGGAAGGGTTTCAAGCAATGGTGACCTTGTTCTCAGAGCTGGGAAAAAGAAGGGGTACAAGAGGCATCAACGAGAGCATGTAGACCAGGGGTTCTCAACCTCTGGGGGGAGGGGGTCAAACGACCCTTTCACAGGACTCACCTAACTAAGACCATCGGAAAACACAGGTATTTACACCATGACTCGTAACAGCAGTACAATTACAGTCATGAAGTAGCAATGAAAAGAATTTGATGGCTGGGGCCCACTGCAACATGGGGAACTGTGGTAAAGGGTTGTGGCCTTAGGAAGGTTGAGAACCACTGGTACAGACGCTTTGACTCTGCCTTTGAAGAGGTGGTGGTGGCTGCTTGGTGCCGGTCTCATCACTCTGGCTTGCTTCCCTATTCTCAGAGGTCTTGACATTGAGTTACTATGAGGTATTGTTCTTCAAGTTTCTAAGTTTCTGGGTGAGTTCTCTGTGTGAGAGTGTCTCAGAGCCCTTTCCATCTGTCTGGAGGTGGTGGAGCTGAGAAGACAGACATCACATGTTTTCAGTTCTGGAAAATTCTGAGCTGGCCTTTGACTTCTTTTCTTTCTTTTCTTTTCTTTCTTTCTTTCTTTCTTTTTTTTTTTTTTTAAGGAAGTTGTGTTCAGAGCTGCTGAGCTTGGCTCCTCTGTCCCTTAGAACTTCCTCTGACTGGCTTCCAGGGCATGTTCCTCTTCCCTTGGAAGCACATAGTAGTGACTGGGTGGTATTGGTTAGCTTTCTCCAGCCCAGGAGGCCAAGTTCACACTTCAGACTTACGCTGTTACTTTGCAATACCGTGACCTGGAGCCCTTTAAATAAAAAGCAGTTGCAGAATTGGCAGCAGTTTCGAACTTCTGCCCGTGCACGAGTCCGCGGGGAGCTGGGCCTTGGGGATGAGGCCATATGTCTGGAAAGAGGTCTGGTTTGTGTCCTTGATTTTGACCACGCCAGCCCTCAGGTCTTTGCTTCTTGTCTTCCACAGTGGAATGTAGGTTCTTTAAGATGTGGCCAAGTCTTCCTGCAGCCTTGAATTGTGCCTTGCTCTATCTGACGTTGGGGCGTTTTCCGTGCACCGAGTCATGTTTCTCATAGTCTTTGTAAGGTCAGGCATTGAAGCCAAGGTCCAAATATCCATTTTCAGAGTGACCAAGGCTCAACACCTTGGCAGTGAGAAGCATCAGCTGTGTAGGTACCAATAAGGCCTTCACAGATGAGAGTGTTTGGAAGGCTGAGTGCAGCTTTAACAGAAGATACCCCTGCCTCCTTGTTCCTGAGAAACACCAACAATAAAAATAAAGAGCCGAGGATGAGCCAGTAAAATTTCGTTTTGTTTATGGCCTGCTTTCTTCGCAACCTAGAGGTACCCAGCTACTCCCCAAGGTGGGGCTTTAATCAGAGGGGTTTGGTCAGAAGGTAGAGTAGGAGCTAAACCTTTGGGGGTGAGGTGAGTGGGGGTGGGTTGGGGCTAAACCTACAGTAGGGCTGGGTTTCCTAAGAAAAGCCTTCCTACAGACACTTTCTCTAGCGTTCGAGGGTGGGATTTCTTCTTGTCCTTCTGGAATATCCTAAACTATCTAGTATCTTTAATTAAAATGTGAAATCCACTTGTGAGCATGAGGAAGCAGGAGGATTTAATATCTGTGAAATCATTCTTGGGAGAAAAGGACTTTAAACTTAAATCTAAAAAAAAAAAAAAGTACCGTATCTCATTCCTTAATCAAATTCAGAGCACTATTCGACAAGTTATGTTGACAAGCAGTGATTGATCATCTCCTACCTGTGGTAGCAGGAAACAGAGGTGGCAAGCTTGGAGAATTTACACAAAGCATCGTAGGTAACACAACTAAGGCGCTGGTGCCGGCCCTCACCATGAATAAGAAGGGATAAGTTGAGCCGAGCTGGGCTTCAGAAGGGACATCAATGAGAAGTGATCTCCTCCCCTCTTCCTTTTCCTCTTCCTCCTGCTCTTTCCCCATCCTTTATCAGGACAACCTCTGAGACTACAGAATGTGGACAACACTATCTGCTTAGAGACTTACAGAAGGGTTGTCTGGAATAACATAAATGCTCAGCAGAGTACTAGGCATACAACAGGTGCTCAATAAATACTTTGTGGGCAAACAAGCAATTCTCTAGGCTCCAGATTAAATTTGCTTTCCTTTTTTAGTTTAGAAAATCACTCAACTATCGGACATTTTACTCGTCAGAGGACTTGCCCTTGTCCTCGCCAAGGAGAAAGCTCTTAACGCAGGCCTCTCTTTGATGTTTCTCGCAGACTGTATTTTAGAACACTGGCCATTTCCTCTCCTGATAAGCTGCCGCATTTAAAAAACAAAAAACGTAGGGGCTGGGAAGGTGGCTCAGTAGGTAAGAGTGCATTTTGCACAAGCATCAAGACCTGAGTTCAAATCCCCAACACTGACATACGAAGCTGGACCATAAGTGCCGTAACTCAGTTGTTGTGGTCGAGGCAGGGGGATTACCAGAACTGCCTGGTTGTCAGCCAAACTCTAGGTTCAGTGAGAGACCTGGTCTCAAGGGAATAAGGGGTAGAGTAATAGAGCAGGACACCGGGCATCTTCTAGTTTCTGAGTGTGTGAACACACACATGCACACATATGCACGTGCACACACACACACACACACACACAGAGCAGATACTATCCACTATTTCTGCCCACATTTAAAAGCCAGAGACGCAATGGCCCATCATTCTGTTTTCAGGCCTTTACTAAGTAGGCGTGAGATGGAAACGCAGAGACGGCCACGCAGTTTCTCTCTGCGGCTCTCCGCCCTCCTTTCCCAGCCGTCTCTCTAATAGATACGGATACACACACCGGAAAGCGGACACTATTTCGGGACTCATAAGTTCCGTAGGGGTGAACGTGCTCTCAGCTCTCAGGCCTGCAAGGCTGACCCCTTCCAGATCTTTTCACGGTTTGGAAAGATCCGAGAAACAAATCAAATCAAATCAGGCCTCAAGCAGCACGTCTGGGAAAGATGTAGAGGGATGGACAATTGTGTGTGAAAATTACACACTCAGCAGGAAGCATATTTGTCTCAAAACATTAGATTAGAAACTTCTCCGAGTGACAGCATTTCTTCCTTTCTCGCCTTCATTTCTAGTTCGTTCTTATCTGAGTCCTGTCAGCTCTCAAACTGACATTTTCCTGTTCTGATCTTTCCTCAGATAGTAAAGAGGGATTTTTTTTTCCCCCAAGTGGCTTGATACAAATAGCGGTTCAGCCTACAGAGAAGCGTCAGGGACAGTTTGGAGTCCTAATCCCTGACCCTCTGCCCTCTGCTAACTAGCTATTGACATTGAACTTAAAAAAAGCTTGCCATGCTAGGATGAGATAATATTTTAGAAGGCAAGAGAAAAGGACGGAGGTGGGGAGCGTGGGGGCTGGAAAGGGCTGAGGCTGGAGCGTGGGGGCTGGTAGGCTTCAAAGCAGACGGTGATGTTGGCCCAAGTGTCAAATTTCAGGCTGTTAAAAGTTCAGCTTTGCTTATATGATCTCGTACAGACAAAAGGTCTCAGCTGGGTGTGGCCAGGCTTATGCCTGCCATTCCAGCGCTCAGAAAGCTGAGGCAGGAGGATCTTGATTTTTGAAGCCAGCCTGGGATGCTTCGTGAGACTCTGTCTCAAAACAACGACAACAACAGCATCAAGAGAGATCTCATCTTTTAGGCCAGAAATGGGTAGGTGGGCCTGTTTAGAGGGCAGCTGTTTGTCCTTTTTGATTGTGAATATCTGGTTGTGTTTTTATGATGCAGGCAGGGTGTCACCTTGTCCATGTGATGTGACAGAG